ACAGAGCTCCTAAATGATTTTTCCATCTATCTTGAGTGGTATGGGTCTTACCCTCCTTGAAGATGAAGAAATGTACAAACTCTTTTTGTAATAAAGTGTCAACATGTTTTGCCAGATTTACAATCCAAAGAAATGAATTCCTTCGTTTTTGACTTTCTAATCTACTACATGAATTAAACTTGTAACTGATTTTCAGTATAGTTTTTTGAATAACTGAAGAATCTTATTGATTAATCTTATTATAAATATGGTATAAATATTCCTATCAAAGAAAAAAATTCATGAGTTGTAAATATCACATTTTACTAGGATATGACACTCAAGTTACTATCGAAAGGTATTTTTCTCAAACAAGCTTCAGAAATTTCAAGCTAACTTTAGATTAATTAGTGACTTTAAAACAATGCTATTTTGGGGATCAGCAGTTAGCGTAATGGCTATGTCGCTGGACTCCCACGTAGTCGACCGCGGTTTGAGTCCCGGACCCAGTGGCTTAAACTCACGCCAGGCGCGTGTGCGTGCGTGCTCAAGATCCCGAGAGGAGAATGGAGGAGAAGGGATTTCGGCGTGGCCATCCTCTCTGGGGGGGATTTCTCGCTTTCTGTCTCTCTGTCTCTCTCTGTCTGTCTGGTGAGCGCACGCACCCTATAGCAAAAATCTCTTCTTCTTCAAAAAAAAAAAAAGCTACTTTGTGGGGATTTTATGAGACCAAATCTGCAACATGCTGGTAGGTAAGATCTATGAAATGGTAACATGAACAGAAAAAGTGAATGAATTAGTCATTTGCTCATATGTAAGTTCAGGCAGTATCTGATTTAAAAATTTAGAATTAAAAAATAAGGATTAGCAACTATCTCTTTAAAATCTGTTTTCCAGGAGGCTAGCAAAGTAGTAGGAAGGAATGGGGAGATAGTGCTTACAGAGTACAAAGTTTCAATTAGACAAGATGAGTAAGACCTGGAGATCTATTTGGACAGCATGGTGACTACAGTTATTTTTGTTTCTTTTTCTTTTTCTTAGAGAGGTTAGGGCACGTGCGCTCACCAGACAGACAGAGAGAGACAGAGAGACTGAAAGCGAGAAATCACCCCCCCAGGGGGGATGGCCATGCCGCAATCCCTTCTCCTCCATTATCCTCTTGGGATCTTGGGCACGCACGCACACGCGCCCAGCGTGAGTTTAAGCCACCGGGTCCGGGACGCAAACCGCGGTCGACTACATGGGAGTCCAGCGACACAGTCATTACGCTAACTGCTGGTCCCCTACAGTTATTAATACTGTATTATATTCTTAAAAATTGCTAAGTGACAAGATACTTTTTCTTTAAAGATTTTTATTTAACTTCATTTGTTATTATTATTATTATATATTTTAAAGAGAGACAGGGAGAGAAAGAGAGAGAAAGCAAGCCACCAGGTCCAATACTCAAACCATGGTCAGCCATCTGGGACTTGAACACCCTCAACCACCATGCCACCTCTCAGCCCCAAGAGAGTAGAACTTAAATGTTCTCCTCACAGGAAAGGTTGGAGAGAGGAACTATATAGGTGATGGATATGTTAAGTAGTTTGACTGTGGTTATCATTTCGCAATGTAAACATATTATTAAAATATCACATTTTATACTATAAATAAACATCATTTCTATTGTCAATTTTTTTTTTGGCGGAGAGGTTTTTTGCTATAGGGTACGTGCGCTTGCCAAAAAGACAGAGAGAGAGACAGAGAGACAGAAAGCAAGAAATCACCCCCCAGGGAGGATGGCCATGCCGCAATCCCTTCTCCTCCCTTCTCCTTTCAGGATCTTGGGCATGCATACACACACACCTGGCGTGAAGTTAATCCACCGGGTCCGGGACTCGAACCGTGGTCAACTACATGGGAGTTCAGTGACATAGCCATTATGCTAATTGCTGGTCCCTCTATTATCAATTTTATCTCAATAAACTTGGAGAAGAAAAACTCTATTTTCAAATGACTTCTCAGATTTAGGTAAAAATAAGTAGAAAGTAAAAAGTGACAGCAAATATAACTTACCTTTTTGTCTCTGGTCCTTACTTCCCCATAGAAATCTAGGGCCTCCTGTGCCTTTAAAAATTTGCCCCGATGTAATAAATATGCACAAATCATTACACCAGTTCGTCCCTTTCCAGCTTTACAGTGAATTGCTGCAACATGATTGTCATCTTCACTTAGCCATTGGTCAAGATCTTCGCAAAAGGGTTTGATAAGTTCTAGCTGTGGTGGGTTATGGTCTTCAAAAGGATACTGTGCAACTGCAGTAAAAAGATAACCTCAGAATAAGAAAAAAATCTCTCCTAAATTTTAAATTAAAACTAGTAAACTTAGATATGTTGCATAAAACTTAACAGGTCACTGAAAAGAAAACTGATTTCTAAAAAAAATTTAATTTATTGCCTGTTACCTTTCTAATTCTTTAATAGAAAACAGTCTCACAGTAACCTCAAATGTACCCATTAGACAGGCAGGTCAAGTATTATTTTCCCCACTTTATGCAGGAGGGGATAGAAAGCAGCATAGGTCACACCCTACCATAGGCAGAGCTGAATGCCAAACAAAATGTCACACGAGCCTCTCTTCAGAGCTGTCAATACATTTTCTATCAAAAGAATAATATTTATACTACATCATCACAAAACATATTCCAAAGAAAATATAGATTACTAAAAGAACTATGGAGAATACTGAATTTATTTATTTTTATATTTCATAAAATAAAAATGCCAAATGTATTATTTGAAGGTAGTCTTGCATGACAGTATTTTATACACATGATTTTAAATGCATTTACAAGGGGCCGGCAGGTGACATGTTGATTAAGGTTGCTGGACTCCCCATATGGGCAATCATGTTTTGAGTCCCGGACCTGGTGGCTTGCTCTCTCACTTTCCCTCTCTTTCTCTCTCTCTCTGGTCAAATTTAAAAAATAATAATATAAATAATGAATAAAACTAAGTAAATAATTCTTTCAAAAATGCATTTACAAAGGAAACTTAAAAATTACTCAGAAAAAGAATATAAAGTGGTAGTAAAGTTTACCAACTGTCATTTCAGTTCTTTTCACATGAATTAAAAAGAATCCAAGACTTCTCTGTTCCCTAAAGTCAGAGTCCAGGTATTTTTGGTCTTTTATTTGCCCAGAAAAGGACTTTAGATATCAAGAAGTCTTCAAAAAGTGCATGGGAAATGTTTCGTATGAAAAATTGCATAGATTTTAAAATTTTTGTGCCAAAAGAAATTGATATTTTGATGCCATTTTCCATGAACTTTCTCAAGTTCCCTTATATAACTATTGAGTTTTATCTTAGTAATATCTATCTCGGTTACACTCGGAGAGCCTTAAAAACCTTGGCTTATCTAATGTACTATTCTCTGTGTCATCTAAACGTATGAAAAATGTGTCTTGTCTCTTCAACCAAGTCATTCATGATGTGGTACAGGATATAATCAATCAAGTCCTCTAGCATGTCTGCGAGACAATGGCTACCATATTAGGAGTCGGCAGGAAGCGTCACTTAGTCACCTCTCTAACTGTACTATTATTCCATCTGCATTTTCCCAGTGACACACAAAACATCCCGGAAAACCTGTTAAATGTCTATCTAATGCTAGATAATCCTCAACTAAAGCATGCTTTGCCTAGCAAGTAGTAGCCTAGGTCTACGAAAAAAGAAACATTCTTAGTGAATCTATACTGATTCTCAATCATCAGTGCTTCAGAACTCTCCAACTATCTGTTTGAAAGTCTATTCTAGGTTTTAAAGAGGGATCAATGGCAAATACATCAATCTGTAGCTCGTGGCACCCACATTCTCTTTTTGACTATCACTGGGGAATCTGTCAAGCTTCTCAGTTCTCCAGTTCGCTCATAGTTTAAGAAGTTCCACCACTACACATGGGATTTTTTTTTTTTGTGGCTCCGAGACAGATTACAACTCATTTAAAGCAGTTCTCTACTCTCATCTAACAGGTTCTTCTTATCCATATTTGTTATACTCTTTATACCTTTAAAGTTATTTTTCAATACAAAAGAGTTAAATAGTTCTGCTTCCTCTCAATAACTCTTTATACCTACAGCCTCAAAAGCAGGTAAATGCCCTTCTCTATTGTTACTCTAGAAATTTCTTCTAATTCTTTTTTTTTTTTGGAGAGGTTTTTGCTATAGGGTGCGTGCGGTCGCCAGACAGACAGAGAGACATAGAGACAGAAAGCGAGAAATCACCCCCCAGAGGGGATGGTCACGCCGCAATCCCTTCTCCTCCATTCTCCTCTCAGGATCTTGGACACGCATGCACATGCGCCCGGCGTGAGTTTTAAGTCACCGGGTCCGGGACGCGAACCACGGTCAACTACGTGGGAGTCCAGCGACATAGCCATTACGCTAACTGCTGGTTCCCTCTAATTCTTAGTCTATTCCACACTTTCATCTTTTTGGCAATACTGATAAGTTTTTGTGATACTTATTTCTTAAAGCAAAAGAGCAAAATTAAATTTATTTTTTCAAATTATCTAAGGCCACTGTTAAAAATATTTACCTCATTTAATAATCTAGAAGATTCACTACTGCTATGATAGGAAGATAGTCTGTTGGCTTTAAACTATACAAAACAACTACGGTACACTTATACCTACCTCTGCAGTTAAATTTGGCGGTGTCATAATGTCTTTCAGCACATCTAGGAGAAAAGTTTAAATGCGATATAAAGTTACCTTTTGTACTTGAAGAAAAAAAGTATTGACATTAACAAACATTTCCTGAACCTTAGAAAGTGATAGGCATGTGCTAAGTGTTTTATATCCACTATTTCATATAATATCAAAAATTCTATGGAGTAGGTACTGCTATTATCTCCATTTTATAATTAAGGAAACTGAGGCTTAAAAGGTTAAATAGTTGTATACAATTAGAACATACACATCTGCTCACAAAACCTTGTGATGCCACTAACATCCAACCCTGCAAATTCAGCTGCATCCAGGTGTTCAGATTCTGCACAGAAGTTCTGTATGCTACTGGAATATATTTTTAGCTTTATAAATACCTGTAAGGAACTCACTAGTTTTGATATTGTCTTTATTTCATTGTTATGCATACACTGTTCTCAAACTATACTTTAAAAATATAAATGCTAAAAGGGACCAGCAGTTAGCGTAATGGCTATGTAGCTGGACTCCCATGTAGTCATCCGCAGTTCAAGTCCCAGTCACGACAGGCACGTGTGCGTGTGTGCCCAAGATCCCGAGAGGAGAAAGGAGAAGGGATTGTGGCATGGCCATCACCCCTGGGGAGTGATTTCTTGCTTTCCATCTCTGTCGGACTCTCTCTTTCTGGTGAGTGAACATGCCCTATAACAAAAACCTCTCAAAAAAAAAAAAAGAAAAAAAGAAACAAAACAAAGATAAATGCTAAAAATAGTAAAAGTATAAGGGCAAAGAAAAAGGAAAAACTGAATGATGCTATTCTACTTGGACACAATGCTTAGTAAATTTTTTTAAACCAGACCTTTCTCTCTTTTGATAAGCCAAAGGTCATCTTTTTCAATAATCTCTCAGGTTATAAGTTTTAATTAAAGTCTGAAAGTAATGAAAGAATAAATAAAATCAGTACATAATAACAAAATGCTGACTTAGCATTACTAGAGCATGCTAATATCTGTTTTTTCATAGTAGTAAACTCGTAATTGATAGCCCATATTTATAAATATTAATAGGCTCAGAAAGGGATCCTATACATCAGCTGAAGTTGGCAGCATCTTGGTATTGCTAACCAAACCAGATGTTGAAAAAAATTATTTAAAACACAAATTTAGCATTTTTAAACAAATAAAAGTTCACGGGTCCTAAGTTACACATAATTCCACAACTCCAGAAGTTCAAAACATCTAGCATTTTCTCTTAAGTTTACAGTGAACTCAAATGCAGCAGAATCTAGTCTGAGGTTATAAAACTGTATATAATCTTTAATACACTTAGTCAAAACAATTCATTCTATGCACCATCCCAAATCCCACTGGGGTGTCTACATAATATGAAGCAAATGCTTCTTTGTCACATTTTTGAAAACTGAAACATTCTGAATATTGAAACATAACTGGCCTCAAGAGTTTCAAGTAAGTGACTGTGGGGCTTAGTACATATTTCAAAATCCTGAAAACATCTATATAGTTCCTGTGCTTTAAAGGGCTTCAAAACCAAATTCACATGAAGGTTTAACTAATTATACACAAACTGCAATCTACTGGGTAGATTTGAAATAAATCAACTTTCATATTACCACTCAGAACAAGTTTTTCCTTTTTGGTAAAGTGTAACTTAGTATAACTGAATGTGCTAGAAAGAAAATTTAATGACATTTACGAATATATGTACCCTTGCTAAATAATATCACACTCAATGAATCAAACACATTACAGGTGAAAAACAAGACTGACCAAGAAAATAGTTATATTTTACACTTTCTTTGGTACGAATTAAAGAGATATGGTAAATAATAAAAAAAACTTTAATATTTTATAAGAAATCAGGTAAAGTCTTAGGGGTGGGGAAGATATATAGCTAGGAAACAATTCTAAGAAGCAACTCTCATGACAACACGACAAAGTAAGAGTTTTGTGCTGCTTTGGCTTTCTTTCTTTTTTTTTTGCTACAGGGTGTGTGCACTCACCAGAGACACAAAGTGAGAGAAGCACCTGCTATTGGGGATGGCCAAGGGCAATCCCTCCTTCACTTCTCCTTTTGGGATTCTGGGCACACCCTTCAGGACTCAAGGGCTAGTCAGTCTTGTGGGATCCAACCATCTCAACCACCATGCCAGCTGGCCCTCAGCTGCAGTTTTCTAAACTTCCCATGCTTTCTTAGGATCTCAAAATTGTATTTGACCAACACTACTTAAGATGACCTTAACGAATGATTCCTATTACTGATAAGAGGAACTAATATGGAGGGAGGGTAGTAATAATGACTCCTTACTAGAGGCATGCATCTTACACAGGAGTTTCTGCGCTTTCTGTTTCTTTTTCACGGTATTGTGATAATAATTAATACTGTCCTCATATATAATAAAGCTAACATTCAAAAGAGCATTGAAAAACTTATCCCAAATCACAATGTATAAATTTAAGAGCTAGAACTCAAGCTCAGTATCTCTGATTAAATAGTCAAACTTTTTCTATGACTGCTGCTGCTGTACACACTGACTTACAGTAAAGAATAGTTTTAATTCAAAAGCAACAACAAATTTAGTGATTTTTAGCCTTCTTACCAGAGCAATATTTGTTATGAATGATATAACCAATGGACTGATAATAAGAAACCAAGAAGTCATGAAAGTCTTTACAGAAAAGCATAGGGAGTAGGGGTCAATTATAATATGTTGGGACTGGTCATAATGCAAATACACAAGGAAAAGGTTGGCAGGATAAGGAAGCAAGACTTTCTAAATTAAAATCATCCCTGACTGGGACAGCCCCACAGCACCGTGATTCAGTGCTATGCCCTGGGACCTGGTTCCCATATGGTCAACTGTGGTTGGAGTACTGGTCCCAGTGCCTTGGGAAAGAGACAGGCACGTGTGTGCCCAGAATCCTGAGACAGAAAAACAGAAGAATGGAGAAGGGATTGTAGCTTGATCACACCTCACTGGGTGTTGTCCCCACTCCACCCGACCCGACCCGGCATGAGTACACATACCCTCTGGCAATAAAAGAAAAAAATCTCTGATAAATGTCCTCCCCTCAATAAGCACACACATACAGACACAATTTCTTTCAACTTTGATAAGATATCTTAGTCGTAAGTCTCTCAACAAACTAAAATTAAAAGATACACAAATGGCAGATGGGATTTAACCATTTATATTCCCTTATGACCATAACTCACCTTAAAAGATACCATTGCTTCTTTATCATTACCTCATATTGGTTTATATGAGACAAGATAAATGAAGAAGCCTTCGAAAAGAGACCTTTTTTATGAAGCAGTAGAATGCACTGGGGTTCAGGACACATCACCCTAAAATACAGCTGCAGGAAAACCAAACATGCCACCCTGAAACAGACTGCTTTGGAATATTTTCAGCTGCTTATTCTAAGAAACTGCAGATATAGGAGTAGCCCTATTGTAAGAGAAGTCTGTAGCTCCACCACAAAGTAGGCTGTGCTGGACTTTGATTACCTGAGAGAGTTTGTCGGTCTAACAAGACGACCTTTATTCACTATACAATTCTAGTCCTCACCTTCCCCTAACTTTTGTCACCATGGTCTCCCAGAGCCCCAAGCCCCTATTCTTTTCTGTAGCTGAGGATGTTATAAAAATTTCAATTATTTGACCCTCACTAGGGTCTCATATGTTGAGGCACTCCAGGGTTTCCATATGTAATTAAATATGGCCTTTCCCTCTGTTATCTGTCTTACGTTCAATTTAATTCATAACAGTCAAGGAACCCAGAAATGTAAAGGGAAGGCATTTTTTTGCTTCCTGGTAGCAGAAAGTGAAGAAAGGACAAGAATTAGAATCCATTGAACATCAAAGGCAAGAGCTGCTAAACACCTTTATTCTGTTTCCCTTTCTACCCCAGCTCTACCAGAGTAGAGATTTAACAAAGGAAGAAACAAAAACGAAATACACTCGCACAAAACAAAGTGATTAACTAAGTATTAGTATATATCACTTGGTTAATGCTATCAGGCTTATTTTGCCCTTCCTTAAAATAACTTATTGAATGCTTGAAAAAAATATAAAAATGTAAATAGAATTAATCATTAGAAAGTCTACATTGAGAATATTCATCCATAATATACCAGAACTGCTATGAAAGGTTTAACATACTATTAGATAAGGGTACACCTAGTATAAATATTCAAGATCCTCATGGGGCCGGCAGGTGGTGTGGTGGTTGAGTTGCTGGATTCCCACATGGCCAACCACAGTTTGAGTCCTGGAGTTGGCGGCTTGCTTTCTCACTCTCACACCCTTTCTGTCTCTTTTTGGTCAAAATTGAAGAATAACGATAATAAAAAAAAAATTAAAAATAAATCTTTAAAAAAATAAATACTTAATATTCTCAATTTATATGTCTGCAAAAATATATTACATCTTATGTAATACTATTGTAAAACTAAAAGAAGCAATAACATAGAAACACCTGCTGCTTGTTAGACTAACTCACTTAGAACCAGAAATAAAAAGACTGAAAAGTGACACGAGAAATGAAAACAAGCTCTAACTTTTACTATTTGTGAAGGTTAAAACAAGTAAGATACAAAGGGAATACTGGCACGAACATTGGATGGTCTGCTACAGTACATGCCTGTGTGACCTTGTTAAACTCATTTAACTTCTCTAGGCCTCAGACTCTCCATCTGTAAAATGAGAAGGCAGGACTAAATGATCTCTTTCAGATACTTTCTAGTTATGAAAGTCAATTATTCCAAGAGTTACAATATACGCATAAAAGCTACTCCTGGCTAATAACACGATAGTTCATTAACTCTGGAGTCTACTGTTTGGAAACACGAATGGGGGAAAAAAAAAAAACCAAACATGCAGTCAGGTTGGCAACTATCCCCCAATAGCTATTATCATGTAAGTGGCCTACAATACTGATATTATGCACTGAAGTCCTTAATTCTGGAAGCAGGAAGTCACTACATACAGGAATGAAAAGAATTTCCTTCCCTTTCTTTGGATACGCTAAACTGGAACAAAATTTTGAAAAAGGCCGAATTCATCTTTAGTGTCTTTCAGTCTCCCTTCTGGGACTCTATAAATCCCTAATCCTAAATCTATGCCCGAAATGACTCATTTAATGGATTCCAGCTTTAGCAGTTCTGGTCCTTTCTTCAAAAAGTTCAGAGAGTTGTGGCTATTTTCCTCTGAACAAACACTATGACATCTGCGACAAGGTTCCTTGTAGGAATGGTTCATAAAGAAAATAGGGAGACTCCTAAATCCATAAGCCATTTGTAAATGGGTCTGCCAGCTTAAGTTTCTATAGTACCTTTTACTTTCTGTTATCTTGTTACTTATTTATTACAACCCCTCTCCATACACACACTCATCACAATCTAAGCATAATGAATTATCTAAATACGATTATACCAACAGCCTTCTAACTTCCGACTTCTCTGGCCTGAAATGCCATTTCCCATTCTATAAGGCCTACAGGTCAAACCCTAGTGATTTTTTTCACCCCAGCTCAAACATGTCTTCTGTACATTCCCTATGGGTATAATGACCATTTTCTATTGCTCTCTTTTATACAAGAGTAATGTAATTCTATAAAATTCTATCTACCTTTCATCAGACTACTTGAGGACTTTACATCTTAATCATCTCTGTACCCTCTAACACATTTTATAATGTCTAAGCATGAGACTAAACAAATGTTTGCTCCTTTGTGAATCTGAGAAAATCAGTCAAAGTTTACCACCCATAACAATATTGGTATCTAATCTATTCCCAGCATTTCTGAAATCTTAAAAAAAAGAAAGAAAGAAAACAGAAAGATGACTAAAGAAGATAAAAACTGTAAAAAACAACACCCCAACAAGGCACAGAGAACTTATTGTCCTTTTTTAGTTAATATTTAAATGCCTACTGGAGGCAATTACAATTGATAAACTCTACCAAAAAACTGAAAGACTGAATTAGTATATAAAATTTTAAATACAAAAACATTTTCTTTTGCATAATTTATAGATGTTACATGACAAAAATAAAGGCCAAGTAGAAAAATAACATATTTTTATGTGCTGTTTTTTAAAAATTAGAAAGTAGACAATATTAGGTAAGAAAAAATTCTTTAGGGACAAAACTAGAAAGCATTTCTTTACTTCCTTTATTTCTCTTATCTCTACTCCCAAAGTCAAAAGAAAAAACATAAAGTTAAAGATAAGGTCAACTAGCTCTATCAAGTGGTCATTCCTTGAAACCCTGTCCCAAATTAGAGAGACCACCCAATTCAGCAATTTCAGATAACTTAATGATGTTATATACAGTTAGAAAAAAATAGTGGCTTGAATTGATAACGGCTTGAGACATGGAATAAACAAAAACATATCCACTCTGGAGCATACCTCCAGGAAGATGTCATTAATGTTTTAATAGAAGCTCTGCTGTGAATTATACTTCAAATTACCACATGGTTATGGGCTCGAAGATGGGCTAGATGCCAAATCATTTAAGGCAGATCAAGTAACATGAATCTGTGCCAGCACTGTTTTACATCATCACTACACTTTCTAAATGATCTAACAATGCTCTCAATCAGATTTCTTGAACTAATTGTTTTAGAAATACAATTCTGTTAAAATGTATCTTTAACTCTACTTTAACAAGGAAACAACTTTCACTTAGTATTAATTTTAAATAAGAAAACATACTTACAGATTGTATATCTTGTAATGGTTTTTATGCTTTGAATCCAAAAACCTTAAAACAAAACAAACCAAAAAACCATTAACAAAAATGAGTTAACATTTAAATTACATTAATAATATTGAGAGCCAAAAGACAGATCTATTTTTCCTAACCTCAAGTATCATTTAAGTAAAAATAAATAAATAATCCAAATAAGTATCCCCATTAAACAAGTAATCATGCTATTCTTAAATAATTATTATATTATATTATATAGGCTTATACAATCTGAAGTAAACCCAGAGCTTTTCAGAGTAACTATGTCATAATCCTGTCTTCAGCCTAACATAATGAGATTGAGTATTAAGCAATAGCTTCTTTAAAAGCCAACATCAGCATTTAGCTTAAGTTCACCCAGTTCATAAAGACTTACAAGAAAGCCACAGTCGAGTACTCTTTAAATAACCCTGAAAATTTAACTATCATATTCTTTTTCAAATTAAAAATTTTTGACATTTGAAAAGTATAAGAAATAGCTGTAAAAAGTTTACCAAGCATTTTTACATATATTTCCTCATTTGATCATCACAAACATCTGAGATAAAGAGCTTATTGATCTACAGAACTTATTCAACCTAATACATCTATTAAGTTGTTGGAAAAGCCATGATGCATTTTTGCACAGAAAAATACTTAGGACTTTCCCAACAATCTAATAGTAAGTAAAAGAATCAAGACCAAAGACCTCTCCCTTAAGTTAAGAAACTAAGCAATAATGATAATACAGACAACATGAAGATTTACTACATTGCCAGGTTTTATTCTAAACACTTTATGTGTAAAAACTTGTTTAATTCTCAGCCCTATAAGGTAGGTAATAAAAGGGTTGGATAAGGCTGAGGAATTATCAGAGAAATAGAATAAAGAGACAAATGGAAAAACTTAAGACTAAAAATTCCTCTAAGAGATCCATCATATGACTAGGAGTTTCAGATACAAAGAAGAAATCAACAATATAACTCAAGAAAAATCCCCCAAACGCATGATTAAAATTTACTATACAGGCAAAGTATAAACACATGGCCTATAATCAAGAGGAAAAAAAAGGCAGTAAACAGTGTAAGTCTGCAAGATGAACCAGATGCTAAAATTAGCAGAAAAGGATTTTAAAGTATTTACTACAAATATGTGCGAAGATGTAAAGAATGATTACAGTATGTGAAAAGATAAAAAGCCTCAGCAAAGATAGAGAAAATATAAGAAAATATAAGAAAATATAAGACATGAATTCTAAGCCTCAAAAATACAATATCTGACAAGAAAAATCCACTGAATGGTCTCAAGAGAAGATTAGAAACTAATGAAATATGTAACGCGTTGTATTTTCCAAAAATTACTTAACGAATATTTATTAAGCACATGCTATGTGATGAGTGCTACTAGAGACACAGTGGTAACAAAACTCCCAAGCACTGAGAGCCACAACAATGAATGATCAAGAGCTCCAGAAACTCACTACAGTATCTCATTTAGAAAACAACCTAAGAACACTGGACAGTTCCCACTAATCTTAAAATAAGTGAAAAAAGAAAAATTAGCATCTGAAAAAGGCAAAAATATTATGTATTTGCTACATTATTCTATAGCTAATGACATGTATTTCCCGTGCTGTATTCAACTATAATCAACATTTGTTCTTAGAACATTAGTAAAACCACAGCTGCTACTACTGTTATTAATATGAGGAACTGAGCTATATATTATATAGCTTCCCTGCCATAAAACCCATTAACACAGGTAAGCCCCTTCACCCCAATACTTAACTACAGTCTCCTGATTGTCTACAAGTTGTTAGAATGATCAGTTATGCATCCAATAAAAGGAAATTTTTTTGGAGGGGAGAGGTTTTTGCTACAGGGCGCAGGCACTTGCCAGAGAGAGAGAGACAGAGAGACAGAAAGCAAGAAATCACCCACCCCCACCCCCCCAGGGGGGATGGTCCTGTCGCAATCCCTTCTCTTCCATTCTCCTCTTGGGATCTACACTCACACACGCCTGGCATGAGTTTAAATCAGCGGGTCTAGAACTCGAACCATACATAGTCAACTACATGGGAGTCCAGCAACATAGCCATTATGCCAATTGCTGGTCCCCCAATACAAGGAAATTAACTATCCTATTGAACATGTACTTGTAACTCTTCATGTACAAAATACTACTTTCTCTTATATTATCTCATGTTAAACACAAAAGCAAAATATACCAGTTTTGTATAATTCTGCTCAGAAAGAGTATCTGTTAGTACTCGATAATCTGCTCGCAAGGGTGTCAGGTGACATCGTGGTTAGGGCACTGGATGCCCACATGCCAACTGCAGTGTGAGTCCCGGACCTGGCACCTTGCTTTCTAACTTACCCTCTCTCTCTGGTCAAATTAAAAAAATAAATTAATTAACTAAGTAAATTAAGTAAATAATTCTCTTTAAAATGGAGAAAATCTACTTTCTCCAGAGAGCTGTAAAACTGGAGGAAAAGGAAATAAATAGTAGAGGAATTGGCCTATAACTTGATGAAGAATCCAGAGGGCTATCAAAAATAATTTGGTAAAATACTGCCAAATAGTTCTCTAAAGATGTATCACTATGCTTTTACCAACATGTATGAATTCTAGTTGATCTACTTCCTTGCCAACTCTTGTTAGCCTTTAAGTTTTAGATATTCTGGTAAATATGAAACGTCATCTCACTGTTTTAATATTCATTTCCCTGATGACTGATATTAAAAATCTTTTCATATGCTTCTATATCTTCATATATATTTATTATAAAGTTTCTATTCACATCTTTTGCCCTTTTCCTCACGGGGTTATTCTTGGTATCCTTCACTGTAAAGTTGTAAGAGCACTGTCAAATTCTGTGGATTCGAGTCCCTTGTCAGACATACCTATTTTGAGTACTTTCTTCAGGACTGTGCTTGCCTTTCTAGTTTCTTAATTGTATCTTTCAAAGAGGCAAATTATGTCAATGAAGTCCAATTTATCCCTTTTTTCTTATTAATACACTTATTTCTTTCATGAGAGAGAGCACCCTCAACAGTATCTCGCACTGTGATCCCCTCCTCTCCAGCCTTCTCAGCCAGTCAGGATCAGGGGCACACAAGCACATACCTGCCGTGTACACACCCACAGGGAAACTGAACCCAAAATCTTCCACATGGACCCATTACCCTCAAACAGAGTGTTACTGCCACACCACTCAGCTAATCCACTTTTTAAAAAGCACATACTGAGAAATGATTTGTTTTTGTTTTTTTTTTTTTTGAAAGGTTTTTGCTATGGGGCGCATGGGGCGCATGTGATCGCCAGAGACAGAGAGATAGGAAGTGAGAAATCACCCCCCGGGGGGATGGCCACACCACAGTCCCTTCTCCTTCATTCTCCTCTTGGGATTTTGGGCACGCACAGACATGCACCCAGCGTGAGTTTAAGCCACCGGGCCTGGGACTCGAACCGCGGCCAGCGACATGGGAGTCCAGTGACACAGCCATTATGCCAACTGCTGGTCCCTATACTGAGAAATGTTTAACTAAACCAAAGGTCACAAAGATTTTCTCCTGTGCTTTTATCTAGAAGGGTTACTTTACAGATTTTACTTTTACATTTACACCTGGAATTAATTTCAAGTTAATTTTTGTGCATTATGAGATGCAGTAAAGACAAGGTTCATTTTGTTTTCCATGTTGTTTCAGTGTCATCCATTAAAAAGACTATCCTTTCCCTAGTGAATAATGTCAATTTTGTCAAAAAATATTACGTGAGTTTTTCTGGAATCTCTATTCTGTTCCATTGATCCGTATTATATGATCCAACAATTCTACTCATAGATATTTAACCAACAGAAATAAAAATGTATGTCCACAAAAGTCTTGTCCATCAATCCACAACTAGCAGCTTTGTTCATAACAGACCCAAATATAAAAAAAAAAGTCAAAATGTCCACCATAGGTGAATGGGTAAGTTATGTCATATCTACACAACAGACAACCCAACAATAAAAAGAAACAAATTACTGACATAAGCAACAACAGGGATGAATTTAAAAAATATTATGCTAAGAAAAGAAAGCCAGACGCAAAAGAATACATAGTGCATGATTGTATTTATATGAAATTCTAGTAAAGTAAAAACTTTCCTACAGTGATGGAAAGCAGATTTGAGACTGTCTGGGATCAGGTTTTGGGACTGACGACAAATGGGCATGAAGAATTGTTTTTAATAGAAATAGTCGATATTGTGACTGTGTGGTGGTATTTGTGTGTGTGTGTGTTTGCGCACGCGTGTGTGTGTGAGAGAGAGGGGGGATGTATCAATACACATTTAACTGTATACATTTAAAATGGGTACATTTTACAGATTTGTAAGTATCAGTTTGGCATGTAGTTTATTAAAGCAGCTGGCCAACTCCACAGTTTCAGTCCTGGACCCAGTGATTTTGAAAAAAATGCTGGGTACATGTGTATGCATTCCTAAAACCCCTAGAGGAAAAGGGATTGCAGCATGGTCATCCCTCCTAAAGAGTTCTTTCCCTCCCTCCCTCGCTCCCTCTGTGTGTGTGTGTGTGTGTGTGTTTCTCTCCGGCAAGAACACACATCCTACAGCAAAACTAAAATAAATGTTTGTAAAATAGAAGAAGTCTCAAGTTCATATACACAGGACAGCAAAAAAAGGAGTATATCATTTTCCAGAATTAGAACTTTTTAGAATGAGAAGTGAACAGCACTGTCTAAAATAACATTGTCCACCTGAACTTTCCCAATGATGAGAATATTCTGTGTCTGTGCTGTCCAGTACAGTACTCATCAGCTGCATGTAGCTACTGAGCACTCAAAATAAAGCAGGTGCAAATGGGTAAATTTATTTAAGAATTTTAAATTATTTTATGTAACTTTGTTTGTTTTTGGTTTGACCAGAAAGGGCCGGGTAAGAAAGAGAAAGAGAGAGGGAAAGTGAGAAAGCAAGCCACTGGGTCCAGGACTCAAACCAGTCAGTAATATAGTTTATTATTATTATTTTCC